CTTTAGGACCCACAGATGGATTTCATCAGGTCCCATGGACTTGTGTGTGTTCAAGTTCTTAAGATGGTCTCGAACCAGTTCCTCTCTGACAGTGGGCCCAAGGTGTTCATTCTCACAGGCCCTGTGTCTGCCTTCCAAGACTTGGGTGGTGTAGTCAGAGCATTTGTCAGTGAAGCCGGAGGCAAAGAAGTCATTAAGAAGCTCAGCCTTCTCCAAATCCAGGGTAGCCAGTTTTGATAGTTTCCAGAGAGGGCCCATGTTGTCCCTAGTCTTTTTATTTGCAATGTACTTAAAGAATCCCTTCCTGCTATCTTTTATAGGTCAGGAAACTGCACATGGAACAGTGTGAACTGGGTCAGTTCATTGCCGGAGAGAGAGATTTCAGCAAACTGAATTGGCTAAGCACGAAGTCAGAGCAACACCACAGCAAGAAGGCAGGAGTAAGCAGTTGGGGGGCACCCCAGTCAAGCTTGGGTGTGTACCCTTGTTGGCAGTAACAAACTGATATTGTTGCATTACTATACTGCACATAATGCTCGGTTTCCTAGGGACTAAAAATCCCTTTACTACTACTTCTTGTTACTAGATTGCTTGCACAGGTTAATTTGCCTTTTTTATGACTTATGAGATGAGTGAATACTCTGGTACTTTGGTCTCCTGTTATAGTACCTCCTCAGAGAGGCTCTTCTCAACCTTCTTTTGGTCTGATGTGAGTTTTTGAGTGGCATAGCATTTTAGGATCTAAAATGCTACAGGTCAGGTATAGTGTCACAGATATCGCAGTCACCTTGAATACAGTGAAAACTAGAGCATCGTTCTTGGGTTTTGGGTGCTTTTTTTAGGTGTTGATAGATAGCTGGAGTTGTGTGTTGCAGTATATGTCTGTATTTTTCTTTTCCTGTCTTAAGATGACAGCCATGACTACATAGCTATGTAACAATGAAACATTGCAGTAGTAAGCATAGTAATAAATATGGTCATTCCTAGCTCTATAAAACACACAAAACACTCCTTTGATCAGTGAATTAGTAACAACATTCACTTAACTTTGGTTAATTTTTAAATACCTTCCAATGCTTTTTAAACTACTTCATTTTGTAATGGGCTAGAAAAGGAGAAATAAATTATTAAAGTAAACCAAACACTAGCACAGTAAGAAGCTCAATGCTAAAATAGTGATTAGTACACAAAATGAATTAGCTTCAAGCCTCTGAAATACAGCAAAATGAATTCCAGCTATCCATTATTTAGGTGCTGGTAGCTGAGCTGTTGTAACAGATGCATACTCCTTAAAGATCCTAGTCCTTTTTGCACAGTTGACTGCAAGGTTTCACTCTGCTCTCCTAAGCCTTTTCTCACCTCAAGAGAACTGTTCCAGAGTTCCATGTTTTGTCATTGAAATGGGTGCTTTGTCCCTGCAGGAAACCATTCCAGCTGAGCACCTATGCAAGGATGGCAGGAGTTCCCTGAGAAAAGCAGCAGGACCAGGACCAAACTGGCTTACCAGATAATCAGACTACATCACTGCATCTTCTCAGGGAACCTATTGTGTGTCTTCTGATTATCTGGTGTTGTTTGTGTGCTTTATTCTACACCAACATTACCTACTGTGCAAGTCTGTTCCTGTATTGTAGGCTTTTAAAGTGCTACTGGTTATGTAGCACATACTGTCTCAGTAGTAGGACAGTAATACTCCTTCAGCAAATGATTTCATAGACTTTTTAGTTCATGTGAGGATTGAATGTGACAGTTGATGTCTTGAATGTTGCACACGTCACAGACGTGTGAATGAGAGGAGACAAGTTAATTTGGCAGGTTATTTAAAATTGCACTGGTGTTTTTGGACTTTAGTTAATAGACCTTTCAGACCTGTGTTGACCCTCGGCAACACACTTTAGCACATAGCTAACTTAAAAGAAATCCACCTCAGTTAAGTAGTCTTGATTACTCATTTCACTCTTTCTTTGACTGCAGTGTCTTCTGCATTTATCTCGCAGTATGAGTCCATCAGGTATGCTAACAGTATTTCTGTTATGCATTTAATATTGGGTAGGGGAGAAGAATGTTGAGGGGGGGGAAGTTGTTGTCTGCCTGAGTAAGCTTTAATGTGGACACTTAAACCCCAAGTGTACTCAGCAAGCAACATTAAGCTGGCCCAGGTAGTCTTTAATCTTTTCGCTCTTAAGTCCATCTAAATAAAACTGTAGCTGTAGCATATGTAAGCATACCTAAATTATCAGTAAATTAAGGAGCTCAGGACCTGACTTGTTGCCATTACTGACTTGTAATGTTGAGGTCATCACAGCCCGTGAGATCCAGGAAGTCTGTTGGCCAGAGCATGCTAATCTCTGTTGCTGTAACTGTGCTCTTGCTGGTAACCTGGCTAGTTTGATAACTCCAGTCTTAACAACTGGTGCAGAAGCATATATATCATTAACTGAATGGGGGAGCTGAAGTTAAATGATATACTCAGTAGTTCATGTTATGCAGTTGTAATAGCCCATGCATCCCACAGTGATTGTTGTTATATGTATATTTGTGTTTCCCTACGGGAACTAAAGGGAAAAATACATTTTAAAATATGAATAAAAATATCAAAAACAGAACTTAGTTAATATTAGGTTTTTCCAGAAATTACAAAATCAGGTAAGAGATAATCCTTTGAGCTTTTTCATAACACCTTAAAACTAATGAGTTTTTACCAAGCCTGAACTTACCTGAACTCAAGATTTCTATTTTTAAATGGGCTCAGTGCTATCCTGTTGAAAATTGAAGTTGTATTTGGAGTCATTTAAGGAATAATATGTTGTTCCATGTAAAGTAAGCCCGCTAATAATGCACAAATAATACTTTTTAATCTGAATGTTGTCAGATAATTTGCTAAAGGATTGTTATTTTTTTGTTGCTCTGTTGTTAGTCACACAAAATTAAAAGTTGACTCTTACTGCAAATAGAACCTATAGCATGTTCATCTAAATAAATCACAAATTATGATACGTTTTCTGTTTCAGTGTAGTTTATTTGCAAATGTAGACAGACTTGTCTACTATAATATGAATAGCTTAGTCTTGAAGCTACATTTTCTTTATAAAAGATCAGCATTTGCTGCTTTTTCTAAACAACAGCAGCCAAGGTTGTCGTATCAGGAAAACAATTAGATGCAGTTCTCTAAGTCATAGAGAAGGCAAGAGGAGCTTTGAATAATGAAACAATGGTGTGAGCTTGCAGCAAGGTCCCTGTGTTTGGGAAGATTAAAAACTAAAGAACTTCCCAACAAGCTGACGAAATTGGCCCCTTTTTACGTGTAAGAATCCTTAGAAGCTTAGAAATATCAGCTTCAGACAAACATGTTAAATTATACGAGTTATTGTAAAAAGCTTAAGCTTAAACTGTCTGCAATATAGAGAATATTTCAAAATTGTGGAGTTTTTTTCAGGTAAATTTTATGTTCACTCTTTACTGTTCATGTGGGCCCTTATTTATAACACTGACCCTGAGTTGCAGATATTCAATATCTTTTAACTTTTAAGAGAAGATGCCCAAGAGTGTTTTCTTAAAAATCTCCGTAGAAATTGCTGGTGTATTTCTTGCATTTCTAAATGCCTTTCTAATCCCTCAATAAGAAATATTTTCCTGGTGGCAATGACAAATTATTGCACATAAAGGTGGATAGGCCCAGGTAGTTCTAGCTCTCTTACAATTATTAGCAATTATATTGCATAGTCCTTATGATAAGTTCAGTTAGAACTATTTTTGTAGCTGAAAGGGAGTCTTACTTCCCTCTCTTCTCCTTTACTTTTCCCATACTCAGCCTGCTAATGTTTTCCTTCTTTACAAGTTGAAGCTGTGCTTTGCTGTTTCCAGAAACTGGTTCTTGCATTTAATGTCTGGAATACATATCTGGGAGAAGAGAGAAAAAAAGAATTCTTTGCTTTTGCTACCAGTACTAAAGCTGATTCTCTTTTCTAGTTTTATCTTCATATTTCCTGTTTTTGAAAATGAAAAAGAGAAAGATCAGCACTGCCTATATTTTAGGATAAACAGAATTTACTCTATGATTATTTGAAAGAAAAAGGATCCAAACCCAGAATCTTTAAGAAATGTTAAGCAAGGGGTAAATTATTAATGGTGTTTACCACAGTACCAAGTGGGTATGTATTTTGCTTGCCAATAATTTCATTTATGCCTTGCATTTCAGAAAATCTTTTTCTGACAGCTTGCTTCACCTTTTTCTTGTCTGACCCTTAAGAAAGTGTCACTCTAGAAATTTCATATAATTGTCTGAAAGAAAAATTCAGGAATGTCTATTCAGAACTTTCTCCAAATTACAGACTTGTAGATCCCTATATTTCTGTTTGTCTACCTGTTCCCTTGATTTACCCAGGTGAAACAGTTTTACCTTTTCACTTCCTTTTTACATTTCTTAGGACAAACATTGGGTTCTTTTGGCATGTTAGCTGTGTGTGAGCTGTGAGCTTTAATGGGGAATAATGCAAGTATAGTCTTAAACAGAAATTCTCAATTCCAGAAATCTCTCTTTAAAATTAAGATGCTTTAAAAGGCTTCTGCTTCTCCTTTTGAGACCCTTGAGGATATTGCATACCTAATGTTTATAGGACTTAAAGTTAGACATTTGTCACAGGAGAGTGCAAAAAGACAATATAGATAAACTTGGTGGATTCTAATAAATAAGCATTCCTCTCACATAATTGTGGAAACCACAACTGTAAACTGAGCGCAGTACCCTTCAAAGGGAACTTAATTTCTTAGTGTAAGTGGTGTAACATAATTTGCTGTTTGGTACTTAATAATTTAAATTTAGGGGTAATGGTTTTACATTTAAAGTCCCATTAAAAAGATAAACACCTTTAAACTGACCACTCAGATCACTAAACAGTGGTGTCTGTTCAGTAGAAAGATTTTATGCATTTTACCCCCTTTCTTTTGGGTTTTTGAGGCCCTCTGTCTGGTAGTAAGCTTTAACAAATTGTGTGAGACCTTAAGGCTACTCATGAAATTCAGGAAGACTCAGAGCTACTTACTTACATAGATAAAATTGCGTCAGATGACCTGTGAGAAACAGGTACCATTGCAAATTCAAGTTACTGTTAAGATTCCTGTCAGCAATTTCAGCCGTTTCTTGCAAAAGCAACCAAATAAAGTATTACTCAAACATCTGTCAGCAGAGACTTGAGAGTCTAACCTTCAGCTAAGCTAGAAACCCATAATGAAGGACAGCTGGTCCAAACTGCTTCTGCTTACATGAAGCTTCAGCACTTCTTTGATGTATAGGTAGGTCATGTTTGTGACAATATAATTTCCTAGAAGTAATCTGTCTAACATAATTTATGCAGTCTGCTTAACTTCTTTTCGTTAGACAGCTTTGTTATTTATCTTAAGATTCTTAAAATACTCTGTATCTGAATGTATCATGTCTTCTTTAAAACTGCTAAAAATTGCCGTGCTAGTTTTTTTACTTGTAAAGCAATGAGGTATTTCATAATTTCCAAGCTAAGCAGAAGCTTTCTGATCTCCTTTCCAGATCCCTGTCGTTTAGCAAGGCAGTAGAGCCCACTTCGCTCTCTAAAATGGTAAGCATTCCACTATTTATCCATAATATTCCATGTGGCTTCTTCCTCTGCTTTATTTTAATGTGCGTACATGCTATTATACCCTCTTATCAAAGAGCTGGGTTTTTTTTTCCTTTAGATTCACCTTCTTTCCAGGTACTTGGGTGCTTCCAGAGGTTTTTCAAGGTTCAGGGTGATCTAAAAGTTGAGAGCTAAGAAAAACTGAGATTTTACATTTCATTTCCAAAGGATTTAAAAGGGGGAAAGTGAAAGGCTGTTCTTAACAGAACAGTGGATAATTATTGTCATTTCAGTAGACAATTTAACTGACAAGAGATGGGATAGTTAATTTGCTTGGAAAAAACATAAAAAGACCATTAACAATTGTTTACAGTGCATGAAAGCATCTTATAATTACTACTGTTCTACTAGTAGTAACCTGAACTTCACTGTTGTCTTGGGAGGTGGTGGGGGATCCACATCCTCCAGAAAAGAGTGTCTTTGGGATCTCTTGGGTCTCTCACACACCCCACCACCCCACTTTTAAATTAAATTACTGTTTAGAAGCTTAAATATAAATACCTAAAGGTTGAAGCTGTTGCTGAACCTCAAGTGTTTTTCTTTTTTTTTTTTTTTTTTACATTGTTCATTTTACTGTTCAAATTTGATTTTACAGATTTCTTACATTGCAAACCTCCCGTGTTTTCTCTTTTTGTGGCTTTCCTGTTAGGATCCCTGATTCTTTGTTTCAAATGCCATGTAGAAACTATTGAACAGGATGTTTTTTGGAAAGTGAATATATACAACCAGGGTCCTTAGTTTCTCAACCTTGTATACAGAAACCCTAATGGAACTAGAATCAGGGTTAGCTGTCTTATATAAAACTGTCACCTTCCTCAAGAAAGTACAGAAACTTCTTGTAGGTGGAGAGTGGTTCGTTGGTGTGAAAAATCTTGTGTAACGTTGAGTAATACCTGACCATTTCAGGAATTCTTTAATGTGTATCCACACTAAAATGTTACTTCCATGTTTGAGGGCGAGTTGGCTACAGCAGGGCCATGTTCTTACTTCTGAGACCATGACGGAGAGGTGACCCTAAGAGTTGCTGACTTACTGTGTATAGGTAAATGAATTTTGGTGGGGTTTTTTTGTTTGTTTTTTTTTTTTTAATTCCAGTGTCTCTAGCCCTACTTTTTTTTTTCTTTTTTTTCTTTCATATCTCTGGGCATTGTTTTAGGCTACCTTGTCCCTTCTTAACATGTGTGAACACTGGTAAAAGCCTGAAGCACACAGATATATCTGAGGTGGTTTGTTTGGGTGGGTTATTTTTTTGGTTTTGTTTTGTCGTTGTTTGTTTCTTTGTATGGCTTTTGTTTGTTTGTGTTTGTTTGTTTGTTTTTCTTTGTTTTGTTTGTTGTTTTTTGGTTGCTGTCCTTTGTTTTTTTAAACAAACCCTGAAAGTGATTCAAAAACCTCTGTGGATTTTATTCAGACTTTTAGCTTCTTTGTGATTTTAATTAGGCTTTCTGTACAGCTTTCATGCTTTGAAAGCAACATGAGGTTTAAAGTGCATACATGAATTGCACTTCTGTGTGCAGAGGGGCTTTGCAGTGTTCTGCTGTTGATGAAGTAGCTTGAACTATGCCAACCCTTTCTTTAACAGTGACCTTTTCAAAATTTGCTAGTGTTTACTGACTTACAGTAGCCTTTATTTCATTAGGAAATAAGTCTTCCTTATATTCAGAAAAGAAAATAGTTCATAATTGTGATGTGTCCCACAAACTTCTTTGAATGGCTGTTCCTGTAGATGCTGCAGGTATATCTTTGCTGATGCAAAATAACCAAGTTCAGTAACATGTAAGCTTTGTCATTTTTCTCACACATGCTAATAAAGTTATATTTTAATCAATAGAAAAATGTTACTTCACAACATAAAATATTTTTCCCACTGAAAATGTTCCACTTTTGGAAATTGCTAAGGGGTGTGTAAATCCATTTCTAAATGGGCAACAGATTGAAGATCCCAAGCTGGCTGCAATAAACATGTTTGTGTAATTTTGTTACTTATTCTAAGGTACAATCTAAATAAAAAACAAGAAACATACCCACAAACTTCTGTCATTTCTTCTTGTTTTTCTCTTCGTAAAAATATTTAGGCTTGTAATAGCCAGACAAATTACTGATGCACAGTACTCCAGCATGTTTTCTCCTTTTAATATTTAGTACTATTCTCATTGTGTTCTTGAGAGTATATTTTAGATATTTACCATAGATTTGGAAGACATTCACATTGTGGTACACACCTGTGATTAAATCATGTGAATAACAGGTGTCAAGCATAGAGCAGACCTCAGTCTTGCTGGCTAATTTTCAGAATTGCGAATGAAGAGGAAACTTTAGAAAGTACTGCCTGTTCATGTATGTGTATGTGTACCAGTCCGTTTTCTAAAGCTAGGAAACCTGAACTGATATAAAAATCTGAAATACCATAAGAAAATTTGGATTATTAAATTATTTGAACTCTACACTTGGAACTCAGTAGGCTAAATACAAAGCAGAACCAGTGATAACTGACAGAAGCGCATTGGCAGATAAAATGCTAACAATATTCCATACAATTTAAGGGAAAAAAGGCCAAACTACTGGGGCTTTTTTTTCCAAATACTTAAAAGAAAAAAAAAAGGAGAATTTGAGGAGTTGTTAGTTTTACTAAAGCAAATGGTATTAAGTGCCTATTCCTAAATCGGAATGGTGAGAAAATAATCACTCTAAAAATAACTGGGCTATTTTCATTCAATGAGTTACCTAATAGCAGATATTTTACTGGTCCCAAATGTTATACTCTCAGCATTTCTAGTGGAAATCTCCATTACCCATCTATTGTTCTGAGGTAAATATAAAGAGAAATGTATGTGTTTATAAATTTATGGAGAAAATAATCTCTGGTCAAGGAACGTCTTGGCTGGCATGAACAGTGTATGAATATTATTCAGGCAGTCTACCTCAGCATGGTGTCTATAGAGCAATTAAGTTAATTTTTCTTCTAATTAAATAAACTTGAAGTGTATTGCTGAACCTTTACCTTCCTGGAATTGAAACATAGAACGTAATATGACTGACTGAGTTGCTTGCTAATCAAAGCTATCTGTCAGATAATGGTTGTCAGAATTCCCATGGACTGCAACTTTCTGAAAACATCTTCAGCAATATAAACTCTATCTTCTTTCACTGTACTCCTTGACATAGCAATGACTGCAAAAGTTATACCAAGAACATGGCTAGCTTTTACAAATAAATGAGTGAAAAAAATTTGAGAACTACAGTTGTAGCAAAGACAGAAACTTTTTAGTATCAAATTTCAGAAGGGAGGTATTTACCCTCTAGACAAAGTTGAAAAGTCTTAATATAACAGCTAAGAAAGTAAAATGTTTGGATTTTCCAGTGTGGGATGGGAGGATATGGAGACATTCAGAATCTCATTGAAAGTAGAAACATGATTAGTGGGTACAGGGCTTGGGAGCATTTGCATTAGGGTTCCCAGAGAAGAAGTTTTGCACTCTATGCTCAGGACTAATGTTTGAAAGTTGTTTATATTTGTTATGCTGAGCTGTTTTCTACACTCACTAGGCATGTTTTGCTGATACATGGTAACCACAGGATAGCTATTGACTTAAATTTGAAGAAAACTGCAAGCTGTAATTTAAGCTGAATTGTTACTTCAGGGTGAAATTTTCACTTGCTTACTGTAATACTTACAACTAAGTATGCAATTTGGGTGGTGTTTAGCCCTCATCACTTTTGCATTCCCCTTTTACAGCTGGATTTTGAAATCTGGTTTTAAAGTTCATTTAACATGCCTTCTAGAAAGTAAATATGTCAGTAAGTTTTGGTTTATTTTATGTACTCATTCTTTTAGGTAGTTTAACTTGGTACAAACTGATGCTGCATTCAAACTTCATTCAGAATTGGTCAAGACTAGTTTATCTCAGATTATCAAAAGTGATTCAGAAACACCTGGAGCCAAGATTTATATCCTTACCTAAATTCTGAAAGCACTGTGTTTTTATAGCTCTTCAGAGGAAAGGCAGGAACTGCATTAACACCTGTTAGAGCAGCAGTTAATGCAATGCTGACTAGAACTTCAAAACCCCAATATTAATGTTAAAATGTGAAGGGGGGCAAAAAAGAATGTTTTATTTTTAATGAAGGAAATTATTTTTCTCCTTTTGAAAAAAAAAATCAGTAAAGTCTTAAGGCATTTGAGGGACATTATATTAATGCAGACAGGCTTGCTTCTTTATTTTCTTTTGTATTGAAAATGAAGACCTGGGGTACTTCTGAAAGTGATTACATTGGAATAATTATATGCAGATTTTAAATCCTCACAGATTATGTACCCCACTTGGAGACTTGGAAACTGTTTTATTTCTTAAACAATTGAAATATCTCTTTCTTACTGAAAGTTACCTTGTGCTTTGCTTTTTATTGTAGCAGAGATTCATGTCCAATATGTCAGAAACCTGGGTTTCAAGTTGCAAGGATTTTAAAATATCTGACTTTGAGTGCTTTTGTATAGTAATGGTATTTCAATTGGGAAAAAAAAGTGTCTGTGTAAACCTGTACCGATGTTTAAACTCTTCTTCAGAGATGGTGAAAATTACACTGTGTGTGGCCTCAGGCTCCATAATCTACATTGTATAATTCCCTTGCTTGAAGTAGATAGTGGAAGGCTGCTAGTTATAGAAATTTAGTCAGGTTTCAACACTCCAGGCGGCTTTTTCAAGGTTTAAGATAGTGCAATGATGCCATCTTTTACTTTCTTCACTAAATTTCAGTCATCCAGAATTGTCGTTCATCACTGACAGCACTCCATTCAGTATCGTTTCACTTGAGTTAGGGTTATAAATCATACTGTGCAATTTCTCTGAAGAGTATAAAACCATTCCAACACTACATCTGTTAAGAATATAATGCTAGTTTTTCCATGCAGCAAAATGTTGAAGATTTAATCATAACAGCACCATTTAGAGGTGTCCATTCATGTATTTAGGTACTTTAACTAAGAAAGATGAGTTGCTTCCTGAATGAGAAACAAATACGTCATGGGGCAGTTTCTTCTATCCAAGCTATTTTCTCTATGAAATGGAATTTTGAGGTATAGTTTTTTAAAATACCTTCAGGAGCTTGAAAGCAACAAGTGTTTCCAGTATTTCTACAGCTGTGTGAAATGGTTTGCGTATAAAAATGAAGGTGATAAATTATGATTTCAAAAAAGGCGCAAGCGAATTCTGTTAATACTTTCAGCAAAAGTTGCTTTTGTAACTTTCTTGAAGAGCATAAACCTCAGATAAAAATCACTACAAAATAAATGAAAATTATGTATTGGATTTTTCACTTATTTTTGTAATAACATTGCATTATTTTTGTCTGCCTCCCTAAATATGTTCTGAAGAAAAAATAAATTTCTTTAAGTATTGGAGTGAACAGACAGGAGTTGACAAATATGTCTCTAAATCGACCATACTCTCTTATTTTCTACTGCCTAAATTCCCAAGACTAATTTATACTTTCTGTTGTCTCCCCTTCCTGTATCCTTATCTCCACTTCATCTAGTTTGTACTATGAACAGGTACCTTTTGTAGCCAGTGTGATATTAGCTTTCTTTAAGGAGCTGATACACATTTTAAGTCTTCTTTACTGGAGAAATATTCTTTACATGTCTTTTGTAATATGTAAGTCTTTGGGTACTGTTATATTAAAAAAAAAAAAAAAACCACACCAAAAAAACCTCATTCATACCCCTTTTAGAGCATTGATTCAAAACCTACTGAAAAACTTTATTTGGTCACAATTCAGTGAAGTGGTTTTTTTTTTTGTTGTTGCTTTTGTTGGTTTTGGTTGGTGTTTTGTTTGCGGTTTTTGTACATTGTGTGGTGGTTTGGTTTTTTTCGCCCACTAAGCTTTTTTCTGTTCTTTTCCGTATGTGCAACTATCACATTTGAGATTATGTTGTAATGCTTATGGATGATTTCACACTTTTTTTTTTTAAATGCAAATATTGAACACTGGATTGCAGAATAATTAATTTTGTGCTAAATATAAGTCTTTTATAATGCTTTCTTACCTGGTCGTTTGGCCTAGAAATGGAACATGTACGATTATAATAGATGTACGGGGCAGAGCAGTTGTCAAGAAGTTAAAAGAGAATAGCTTTTAGAAAGTATGTTACAGCAAAAAGTAAAGTCTTGTGATTAGGGGAGAGGTAAGTTTTGTAAGGTTAAGTCTATCTTGGTAAGCATTGCAGTAAGACTAGATCTGTAGGGTAAAATAGTTGGTAATATGGTCCCATATACTGAATGCCTATCAGTAGTTTGAATTTTTTAGCTGCCCCTCAGCAGTTGTCAAACTGTTGCTTTTGTTAAATCTGACCAATTTAACGCTCCAAAGGTATCTGAAAATTTGTCAAATATATGACAAGAAATGAAACCAAATCTAGTACTTGTGAGGTTAGCATGCAGTTAGTGGCAAATTAATTTCATATATAACCTGTCATTTTATCATGGTTTGTACTTTTAATTTTACACTGTAACTGTAGTTTGGACAAAATGATGATCACTGGCCTAATTTGCAGTGTTGCAGACTTCCAGAAAATATTTTCAGAGAGAAAAATTTTCTTGCTGTTTGCTTTGCTCTTCTTGGCAGATATGTTTATTATTCATGTATCTTTCAAGAACGGAATTGTTTTAACTGATTAAATTAAGTCATGAAGTGCTCTCTTCCCTGGGGTCAGGGAGGAAAGGCATGGGAACATCTTAAACTGGCTTTGCTGACTGAAGACAAGACAACATGTCATGTAACTATGCCTTAATATAGATGTATGGATTCTTTTGTATTCCTTTGAGGGCGAAGCCAATCAAGTGCTTAAGCCGATCTGCAAGACCACTGAAATTTTTAGATGTGAAATTATAATTCATTGGACTGTGGAACCCCTTACAGTTCTGTCAGAATTAAGTACTCTCAACAGTGCAAAGGAAATTAATTGTTATAAATTATTTTAATACTTTTGCATATAGCCCCAAACAAGGCTGCATATTGTCCTAACCAGCAATTAAGGTATTAAAAGTATGTAAAAAGCAAAAATAACAATCCAAACAAACCCTTTACATATCACCCAAAAGGTAAGAAGTAATTTGGTAAGATAAGCAATCCTTTGGAGACAAGTCTGCATGTTACTTTTTTCTTTTTTTCTTTTCTCTCCGTGAACAGCTTGGAAACAAAAACATAGATTCATCACGCTTGGCCAAAGAATTCCTGTTCAGGAAAGGCATTTTATAGAGAATTAACTTGTCTCTCTGCCACTATGCACTTGAATCTCAAGTGCATACCAGGTGCTTTCCTGACTTGGGACCTCTATCAACAGATAAATACAGAGGAAAGCAGGTAAGATTATGAAGTGAGTTTTAAATAATAGCTTAAAGTAGAAGGATGGTAAGATGGGGGGAAAGCTGCTTAAGGAAGATCACTGTATGATAGATATTTGCATGCAGGATGTGTGTGTATTTGCTGTTATCCATCTTAGGCAGCCTTTGCCAAGAAAGATTATTTGCACCAAAGTGCTTTCTCCTGGTTTACTTTAAATTAAACTGGCTTATTCATTTTGTCTCCATTCAAATGGCATAAACCCAGTTAAAATGTGGATGCCTTTATTTTCAGAGAGCATGTTTGCTTCATCTACTTTTCTCTGAAACATTTCATGTTTTCTTTTTAACTTCTCTTTTTTTAGTTGTCTTTTGAACATATGCTCACCTGCTTCAATGGATCCAAAGCTAGTAATAAAAGCACCCCTAAATATATAACAGATGCAGAAGTGAATATAAGTGGAAACAGTTGAATAAGGGAAGCAGACCCAGAGCTGTCATCAAGGTCTTCACAGTCACTAGATTTTTTTTCACCTGCTCATGCTCTGTTGGCAGTGACTATGTATTTCGTATCTCACCATTTTTTTTTCTCCTCAACCTCACAGGCTTTTCCTGAGAGTTTGTGACTATATTAGATTCATCTTTAAATCCTACTAAATGTGCTAAACAATGTAAAATGGTTGCCATTAAAAAGGCAAATTTATATGCTGCCAATACTGATCTCTACGGCCTCCTTCTAAAGTTTGTTCCTGGAGGCTCTCTGGAAATCTTCCAGCTTGTGAGAATCTGGTGTGGAAGGGTGCATGTCAGCTTGATGACTGGAAAGCTGAAGAACTAGGAGTTCATGGGTTTGTTTTCCTATATAAACAATGCATTTTGTAAAGAAAGGTGGAAATACCAGTTGGCAAATGTATTTTATGCAGTGCTCTGAATCTGAGGTGTGGTACATACAGAATCAATTAAAAATATCATGACCCTGTGTCATTGTGGCTTAAGAGCAAAAGTAATCGCATTTGTCTTTCTTCACGAATGTGGTTAAAAGTAATTGATGCTTGCTGTTCTCTGACACATTCCACATATGAGAGTTGTGTTTACAAAGATTTTTCTAGATGTGTGAAGAAACTTCTGGGCAAGATGGCTTTAAGCAGGGTGCAGAGAAGTTTTGATTTGGTTACAAAAATAAGGATTCCAGGTATGATATCTGGATTATTATTTTATATGCATTCCTTTCCTTTCAGAAGTGTTCTTAGATCCTGCTAAATACACCAGGCCTTGTTGCCTTTTGTACTTTCTGAATACCAAAAAGAATATAGATGTATCAACACAAGCTTAACAATCTCTGATTTGAGATAATAAAAACAATTATATGCTTCATTATGATCTTTATCTCCATTTCTTGGTTGTAATAATGTAGCTGGACAGCAAACTCATCGTAAAAGGATCGTCTCAGTGGCATACCAGCATGATTCTATTAAGTTAAAAAAGAACACTTAAATGAAACCAAATTGACAAATTGCTTTTAAGTTCTGCCTACATAGACATAAGGATCTTTTTAGAAGCTTTTTTAGGGACATGTGACTGCACTGTCTCTGTCAGCAGCATAGAGTTCCCCGTTTCCTAACACAGAGAACAGACAGAAAAAACACTTTGGTCACCTTCCCTTTCTTTGTTGTGCACTGTAGTGACCACTTGCCTGTACAGAGGCAGAGCAGGACAGTAGTGAAAGTCAGTTTGGTGGTGGCTTGTGAAACTGCTGCTCATGTTACACGGTGTACTTCCTTTCCCCCTGCTGAATATATGCCTTTAAAGTTCAAACTAGCTTTGCCATAGAGACCCATTTCTCTGTTTGTGAGCAGATGCTTTGTCCACTGGGCATACAGGCAATTCATAAGTAGAACTTTCCTTTGTTTGCAGCCTCATTAGTTCTATATGGTTCCGAAGCTCTAAATATGCATAGAAATAACTGTGCAGTAAAACATATGGATCCAAGTGCTGACCTCAGCTACATAATTGTCAATCTAGACAGTAACTGTTATCATTTGGATTTATGCCAGTGCTATTAAAATGAGTGATTTATTAGTGGTGAACAGAGTTTTTATGGCCATGTCAGTCTTGCACAAGTTTATAAGGTTGTTTAAGTACCAATACTCACAAGTTTAACTCTTTCTTTTATTATGTGTAAAGAAGTCTTTGGCAGGTCATTCACTGTGCAGTAAGTGAATGGTATCTAGAGTATATTAATTAAAAGTCCCCTTATTTGAGGAAATGGCTTGTTGGATTTTCTTTAGAGTCTCTCACACAGTCCTTAATGCAATTTTTGGTTTTATTTGGTTTTTGCCTTTTTTTTTTTTTTTTAGTTTAGTTTTAGTTTTTTAGTCTGTTTGATACACGTATCACTATTGCATGAGAATACCTTTGGCTCAAGGGAAGAGCATTAGCAAGACAGTGAGCATGTTTATAATGTCTTTTGGGGTTACAGATATGCATGTGTTTTCTGTGATACATTTTTTGACCACTTGCAGAAATTATAACCAACATTCATCAGCAAGAGCAGAGGGGGCCACAGGGAAAGCTTGTTTCAGGGGTGTTGATTGTGATTCAGAATAAATGCTGCTAAGTCTATTGTCTTTCAATTCACAGCTCTTTGTGTTGTTTCAAGCTGCACTGAAAAGGAGATATATAAATAGATTTGCATATGTAGAAAGAATAATATAGGAAAATGATAATCAGGCTGTAAAAACTTTTGTCTTTGATAAACACTTTAAATATGTGTTGAGCATAAAATGCTGTGGTTTTGTGTCTTTTAAATAGTCTCTAAATAAATTAATATCTTAGGTTATACTTAATTACTACATCAATGAATGCTTTGAACATTGTAAACATTCTGTAATGTGCAGAAATGAGGCTCTTGTGAGAAAACTGCCAGTAAAATGACATGAATTTAGAGGTCACAGAGAAGGCAGTAATGACTTCTCTTGTAAGACCTGATACAGCACCATTTAAGCCTGTGGCAATGCTGTCTTGTGCAGTAATCGCTGACTCTCTGAATAAACCATACAATTTCTTTTTAAATGAGCACCACTGTCAATTCAGATTTAGGAGAATTTGAAGGCTCAAGCTGTATTTATGGACCTGAGCACAACAAAATCATAACTTTCAGGAGGAATGCTTTAAAAATAAATCTTTTAAAGAAGATCCCTGATCTCTGCATCCTGAAGAACTGTTCAGTGTCTAAGAGTATAGCACAGAAAGAATTGTGTACCATTGTGTCATTAATATAAGAAACATATAGAAAGTAGGAATTTTTCTGAGATACATATATGACTAAATACGAAGTCAAGGCCCTAATCAGGCCAGAAATACTTAGTTCTCATGATGTCTACAGCTTTTCAGAATAGATCCTACTTTTACTGAAGAAAAAAGTAAAATACTGTAAGCAGCTATTCTCATCGTGATACGCATGTATAAAAGCTCTATGAGTTCCCAAGAATCTGTGAGAAATTATGAAAGTACACCATGGGGAAAAGGGGCACAAAATCCCCTAAAGTTAGATGTTTAAATGGCATAGAGAAATTGTGAGCTAATATAAAATCCTTGTTGAGGGTGCATAAGAAAACATAGAGCTGTAGTCTTTTCAGACACACTGAATCAATAGATCTAAAATACTGAAGTGATTTCTGATGTCCAGCTCTAAGGCAATAAAAATAGATCTTCAGATTTTTATGTAGGAAAACCGGGCTTATAGAATAATAATGGCCATCAGGAGGATGCTGCACATTTGCAGACCTGCCATTCTCAGTGCTGATATGCTACCCATATGTTTCTGTCTGCAATTTTGAGACCACTGAGGTTGCATAACAAAAGCTTTTGTTCATCCAGCCTCTGAGTAGCCTCCCTCTGTTCTGAGTACAACCAAGGTAGTTTGGACTTTGTCTTGTGGGATTGCTTTGCAGTCACCTGTTACTGTTTGCTCAGCACAGCAATTTAATTCATTCTGAACAGAAGGAAAGCATTAAAGATGTCCTGAAGTAGTTTTGAAAGTAGAAAAAAGGAAGACCTATCATAACTGGTAGCATTAATCTTGAATATTCATTCTTGATTTGAATGTCTTTGGAAGAAGGGCAATGTAGTAACCTAGATAGAACTGGTAATATTTAAATTTTTTGTTTAAGAGTAGATTGCTTCCATGGAAAACCCACCATGTTGTTTTCTCTGCATGAATGAATGAGGAATAAAAAAGATGGCATGAGGGTAGGGAAACAGTCTTTTAATTGGAAGTGGTTTAGTCAAAATCTTGGGGGATACCATTTGGTTTTACTTTCTGGCTTGTTGGATTTTTTTTCTTGTTTTCCTTCCAAAACCTCAAGAAACAGGAAGACTTTAGAAGGACAGAGTCTTCACCTTGCTTTCATTACAGAATCTCAGCATTCCAATTTATAGTTTGAAAAAAATATTTGAAAATTAAAGTGGGGACATGAAACTTTTCAGCTACTTTTTAACATTAAATACATTTTTGCAGGCAACTACAGAAAAGTGCATTCTCTGAAAAAAAAACGATAAAGTTTTATTCTCCAAAGCCAAGCAAGCTTTGATAGACTTGAAGAGAGTCTCAGAGCATAGCAGAGTCCTTGGAGATGTTCTACGAATGGGTTAGGACCCAGATATATTCCAATTCATGCAGTATGTTACCTGAGTAGAAAGTATGATAGAACCAAGAGTTAGTTACTTGTTGCTAAATATTTCTTTGGTTCTAATTCTCTACAGTCAAACTGACATAAAGTCAACAAATCTAAGTTGAAGCCAGAAAGTATGGTACCTGCTCTTCAATGCATCGCCTTTAATTTGATATTTGAACACTCAGAAACTATTGGGAACTGGCAGTAGAGTCATTTTTGCTGAATTTGTCCTGTTGCTTTAGTTTTTGAGGTTGATTTTCTTTTAGAGCCTGGGTGCTCCAAATCAAAACCTCTAAGATGTTTGGCATTAGTATGTATAGAACAATTTTACCTATATTCTCTGTCAAGTAAGAGGCAAGTCTACTCATATCAGCAAATGAGTGATAATAGGTTGCACTAAACAGAATGAAGAACTTGCACCTGCAGTTAAATAGGTAATTTAACATTTAAGAAATGCAGTCGTATTTACGTGTAATATATAGTCATCTACAGATCAGATTACCTTTTCCCTAATAAATGCTGGTGATTTGTGTTAAATTACTCTATCTCCCCGTGTGATACTTGCATACTGGTTTCTGCAGTATTCTGTAGAATTATGCATACTCATTGAGATAAGGAGATCTAACAATAAAACCAGTTATTGTACTGGACAAAACAGGTATTAATTAATTACATTATCTCTAAGGAGGAAGATTCTGTCTTCATTTAAAATCAGATTTTAAGAGAAGTGATTAAGTATAGCTGTCGAGGACTTCATCTATAATTAGACACGTAGAAATTTTTTCTCACTGTGTTGTGCTGCGTTGTGATTTTTAACTGCAGGATCTGCAGAATTTGCATAATAACAGAGCAGTGTGGTTTGGTGGAGTTTCTGGTTTTGTGTGGTTTTTGTTTTGTTTTGTTTTGGTTTTTGTTGTTTATTTGGTTGGGGTTTTTTTGTTGTTAGGCATGTGAAGTACCCCTGATATTTCATTCATGGATTTAAGCTTATGTCTGTGCCTAAGCTTTGAAAGACTCCAGTCATATGCTTCTTAAGAAATATGTTAAGAAACACCCTATGTATTTATACATACAGCATATGACGAATTCTGAAGGTCTTCTAACTTGTCTGAGCTTAATTCAAGGTAGAATTCCTCTGAGTTTAACTGAATTCTGAGAACAGGTTTCATTTTGAGTTCTTTTCATTTCAACACATTTCACAGTAGCATTACATAGTTCTAATTTACTTTCAGCCCAGTTAGTGAGGTACAGTTGATATTTGGTCTGCTGTCAGGATAAGCCAGCAGGATAAGGTCATTTGTCCTTAGATTTCAC